GGTGGGTCGTAGGCACGCGGGGCTTGAGGTGCAGCCAGCCCTGACGATGGCAGTGTTTGAAGTGTCGCCCTCCTACGTGCAGATGGGGGGGGGGGTTCCCTCCGGGTTTTTCTCTCGCACAATAAGCCAATGATTTCACGAATCGAATTGACAGAACGTCCCAATGTAGCCGGGGACCTCCCGAGAGTACCCGATACGACGTTTTCTACCCACCGCACAACCGAGCCAGAGCCGTGCCGCCGAACATCTCCCACGGCGGGACGAGTCGAGTTGCACGTAGACGCAACGTGACCAAATTGATGATGACCTGGCCCTGCTTGGCTCTCGAGTCGGACTCTGATGCCCCGTGAGGTCTAGCATATAACGGTTTAAACTAAACTTTTTATTTTACCAGGTATAAGGCCCACACGGAGTTCTGCAGCTCTTTTTCAAATGTGACCTGGCTGCCACAAACGATAGCTCAACGGAAGTGGCTTATCGCGTGGAAATTTAGAGCAGCCAAATGCTCTAAACGCGTGACGTTGATTCTAAATGTGGAGGGGAAAACCGGAGGACCCGGAGAAAAATCCACGCGACCACGGGGAAAGTGAGAGACACCGCAAACTCCAAATATACAGCAGGCGTCAGGGTCGGGATGAAACACACGACCTCCTGTATGTATACCAGGCGAGGTAGTTAACTTCTGGCTCTGCTTGACAACCCGCCAGGAGTAAAACCCACCCGGTATGGCGAAGGATTCGCACGGGTTCTGCTCGGATGTGCAAGTGGGGGGAAAAAATGTGGTGCGAGGCTTTCTTGTGCAAAACAAACAACAATAGCTATTAATCGTTACTTGCGGGCTTGACCTCTTGCTTGGCCTTTAGAATCTGACGCCGAGGTTGAAGGAGAGAGGTGGTGGGTGGGTGACGTTGATGGGTGACCGTGGGCGGGTTGACGTGTGGTCGACGCACAAGGGGGGGGGGGGAGGGGTAAGGGGTGGTGAGCGACGTCTGCACCGGGCAGGCAACCGGGACCCAAGGAGATCGACCAGTTTTGGTTGGAGTTGGATAAAAAAAACTGACTGAACTCAACAGCTTTGGTGTCTCTCATTCGTTTGGTCGGTTTCTCATTTAGCGTCGAGCGATTCCTGCGGCGGAGGCGGGGAGGGTACACGCGTTGTGTTTGCAATAGGGCCCCCCTCCCGTGGAAATGTTTTTGTGCTCCCGAGTCACCGGTCGACTGGGGTAGGTGGAAAGCGACGGAGCCGAACCCACGGTCGCTCTCAACGCGCGTTGTCTTCTGGATGTGGTGTGCCCGGGGTAGTTAGACGATTAACACAGATTGCCGACCCGGACAGACCCGGCTGAAATTAAGGCCCGATCGCACACTATGCCCAGACTCGGGAGATCGGTATAGAGACCCCCGCCCCCCGTAGACTTACGCGGGGCTTAATGTCTCGCTTTGTGCACGTGTTGAACTTCTTTCGCACCGTACGTGGCCAACCGTGCTAATCGGAGGTGTGCTGAATGTTTCGGGTCGCTGGTGGACGATAGGTGGCACGTGACTGGTGGTATTCCCGATGTCGAAATGTTTGTCTGGTGGCCAACCTTCGGTCCCAGTAAATATTTACACCGTGATTATATAAAGCTGACTGCTTTACATTAACAAAAATCGTACGCTCGGACCTAATTTGCCTTAACGCACAGAATGCGGAATTATCGGGGAAACGAGGCGCGACTATCCAAGGTATTTTTTTGTGTGTGCAGTGTATGTGGTGGCGAGAAGTTAACTACCTCGCCTGGTATGCAGGAGGTCATGGGTTCGATCCAGACCCCGACGCCTGCTGCTGCTGTATATTTGGAGTTTGCGTGTCTCTCTCCCCATGGATTGTAATCTGGGTTCTCAAATTTTTCCCTCCACATTTCTAAACATTCGTTCAGAGTATTTGGCTGCAAAGCCTTCGCACGCGATAATCCATCTTCGTTGAGCCGTCACTTTGTGGCCGGGTTCGCTTTTGAAAAAAAAAGAGCTACATCGCCCGGCGGGCCCTTACCTGCTAAAATAAAAGTTTCATAGAAAAATTGCTTCAAGGAAGATCGAATCGAGGGATCTAACCGCGCCTCTCACAGAGACGTTTTGCAACATGTTTCCTTGAACACCCGTTCGGCTTACCACCCAAGCTTCGACGGGGTTGAAGTTGCATCGTTGAAGGTTGGGCGAGCGCGGAGGCGGGGTGGGGGGGGTCTAGAAGGGGTTAGGCAACTTCACAACGAGGTGGCTACTGGCGCCGGCGGTGGCAGTGAGAGACGTTGAGATCCTGGTGGGCCGGTGCAAGGGGAACGTTTCTCACGATTTGCTGCGCTTCCCTATAGGGTTGCAGAGAATGTGAATGGATAGAGGGGGGGGGGAGGAGCTGATGTTTCAGTTGCATTTATTAGGTGTCGGTGTGCACGAGCACGGGAAGCGAAGTCGTTGAAGTCGACTCGAGGGGGTTCCCAATACGAAACGAGGGGACAAACTTTTTATTTCGACATTTGCGCGCCCTCCCCCCCCTTTTAATTTATTACAGGTTCACACAGACGGCTTTTTGAAAGTACATCGGAAGGACAAACAACGAGAGGTCATGGCGTGAACATTTAAAATATGCTTATGACAAAAAATGGCATGAAATGTGCATTCCGTAGCAACTTCTGAAAGCTTTCACGAGTTTTGTACAAGGGAGACGACTCGGAATCTTCTGGGCAGCCACCCCATTTACTCGGGGCCTGCATTTTGAGGTCAAGATGTTAAAACGGTTTCGGGGTCAATTAAAACTTAGCAAGTTTACAAGACCTTGGAAATGTTTTTTTTATAAATCAAAACACACTTTTTGATCGTCTAAAATCTACAAAATTAGCAACGTTAAGTCTTAACCCCCTTACGCGCCGAAATGATATTCCGTGACCATACGTGCAGGTTAGTAGTCTTAAGGACGTAAAACTGAAATCTGCAGGTTAATTTTTTCAGTGTCACTTTTATATTACACCCCCCCCCCCCGTTCAACGTTTCGCTTCATCTCGGCTTCTAAAATCCAACGAAGGCAGTGATTTGTTGAAATCGCTGGTGGTGGCTACGGCAGTGCCTGCAACCTACCACTTGGGTTGGTGGATGTCGATGTTGTGAACCGCGTGTCCCCGTGGAGGTCGAGGAGGTGTCACAACCCTGGCTCACCTGGAGGTGGTACATAAAGTTGGAGTCTCATCTGTGTATGGGAGTCTAACTTGCTCTACCACCTCCTGGCTCACCAGGAGGAGGTCGACCCAAGTTAGACTCCCATCGGTATATTGGGAGACAGCTGTTGCCCTCCCCACGTGTTCTCTCCTGCTGCTGCTCCGGTCTCCTTCCTCTCACGTGTACAAACACGCCTTTAATTGGCTGAAAACATCTTAATATGTAGAGGACCGTACAGCTCGTGGTCATTACGAGCCCCAAGCTCACCGTCCGGCTGCTTCCTTCCCCTTGTTTGTCTGTTCTTGGGTCGTCGTCGTCCCCCTGCCCGGCACCTCTGAGTCTCTTCAAAATGCGAGTGAAATATCGTGCAGCAGCGGCTTACAAATTAACAAAGATGAGTATCCAGTGACCAATTAAAACACGAAATAATTGATAGCCCACTTCATTACTCGCACTACCACCTCAGGCACACATTCTTTTGATGTCAAAAGGTTGACCCCGAGGGGGGGGGGGTCATAGGTCAAATACCAAATAATGGTAATAGTAATCAAACACAATACCCTGCTGCAGTTTATACACACCATGGATGGATGATGTACTGTGACTGACAGGATTTTAACCTCTCACGCAGGTGTACTGTGGTATGAGTTGAGGTTTCTTTTCAAAAGTAAAACAAGCTTAACACATTACTGCGGAGGGAGCTGGTAGGAACGTTGGGTTGCTCGGTCAATGGCCAGGGTCAACGGCGGCACCACGTGGTGTATTCCGCAAATATGCCCGACTAAGGGCGGGCACAAGCCGGCGTGAGTAGGTTAAACGTTGAGTTTTTTAAGGGCACCACGGGGTGACAGACCCTCCCCACCCAGCCCCACCCCTCCCACCCCCCACCCAGCCCCACCCTCCCCACCCAGCCATACACAATTAATCCCCTGCTTCCTGTGAATTAATCCCGGTTGGGCTTCCAGTCCACTACGTTTCCTACCAGTAAAAGTGACATAGTATTGGTTAATTCCCCAAATGCCTTACAAAGCAACGAGCGGTAAAGTGGCAGCTGGTTGCTCGAGGATGGGAAGACCTTAGGGGCCTATACAGGGACTCGTCTACTTACGAACGAGTTAGGCTCCAGAGGTTTTGTTCACATGTCCAAATTTACGCCCGTCGATTCCAAACGCGTTGTTACGGCGTGTACCCTAAACAAGGGGCATGGCTTTAAAAGTTGTATATCCTCCTGTAGATGCCACTGGTGTCTTCACCTTCTGCAGGTGTATACGCCAGCACCGCCATCTATTGTGCGGTGGTCGAAGCTATGACTCTCGGTTCGAACAGCTGCAACTGGACATACGGACATGTATGTTCATATCCATGAAAGTTCGTAAATCGAATAATTCCTAAGTAGAGGCATCCCTGTATTGTTAGTCGTGGCTCAGCTCGGGCTCGGCTCTGCCTCGAGTGAGCCACGGCTCACAGCCCTCGTCGAACTTGAGCCAGCTCTGAGCCATGGCCGAAAAAAACTTTGAGCAGCAATGGAGTGGCTCAAGCCTGAGCCGAGCCGCACTAAGGTAGGCCGAGGCAGAGCCAAGCCATCACCAAGTGAGAATACAGCCCTGAAGGACAACCTTTACAGTCTCAGGTGCGTGGATGTTGAACTTCTTTCGCACCGTACGTAGCCATCCACGATAATCGCAGTTGCGGGACAACGTGCAGAAGGTGAAATTAATGACAAACGGGGAGAGAGAAAAAATCCAGTGTAGAAAACCGTCGCCGACGGAGCCACTGCCCAGCAGCGACGGTGTATCCCAGTTTCTAGATTCGTTGGCACCCGAGACTGGAACGCGCTGGAGCGGAACCTTTTGCCGCTGCTGCTGAGGCCCCCTTTCGTAACTGTTGGGTCGTTTGGTGGAGTGCAAAATAGAGCCTTTTCAATCCTTTCCGGCGAATGGTCAAATCTGTCGCGCATCTCCAGCCCCCTTGCGTAGCGTCTCCCTTTCCGCAATGCAATCGCTGGCATTAAAAGCTCCAGTTCTTACAGCACGGGGGAGCCACCTGCAGAGTTGGTAAACTCCCAAGCCTTACCTGGGTAAAAATAAAAGTAGCTTATTTTTTTCTCTTTCAAAAGCTCGGGGGCTCACACTTTGACGAAATGGCCAAAAACACGATTTCCCCCATTGTTGGGAAACGGCGGCATCGTGACATTCCTGCCAATAGAAATCGCCACTCAAAGTCGGATTCGCCAAATTTGCCTTCAATGCGTCGACGTCATCAGGTTTATACGGATTAAAAAGACGCTGTCGAGATTAAACAGGTGTTGTCAGTGGTATGGCAATCTTATCTTTTGGAGCACGTGCTCCAGCGATTTAAACTTTGCATGGCCACTGAACCGTAAAAAAAAAAAAACAATCATGGCATCGTTTTCCCTTTTCACCTTGGGCCGTGCCACTTTTGACAGCTGCTCGTTCTAATTTCTCCATACAATGACGTGCGTACGCACGCACGGACGCACGGACGCACACACACTTTTTTAAAAAAAGAATCAGTAGGATCGGAGGCGGTCAAGGCGGCTCGGATGTCGTCAACGTGCCGAGCCACCACCGCTGAGATCGCCGGGTTTTACAATCCCGGTTTCAGCCACTGCCCTGTGATAAAAATCAGAGTCTCAAGTAAAGCGACCCCGGCGGTCCTCGGCGACTGCACACTCGAACAAACAAAAAAAGACAAATCGCACGAAGTTTGACTGGGATAATTTCCAGCTCGGAGGATTAAAAATAATTTGACCGTCATTCGGCCATCTCATAGCAGATCGTGTGGGAATGTTGCAACCCCCCGCCCCCCGCCCACACTTCCTGCGAAGAGGATTAAAGTAGCGGATTAAGATTATTTTTCAGGATTCTCTTAAAGAATCGCACGACGATTCTCCATCTCGGGGCGTAGCAATGATGGCTCAAGTGGCATACATTTGGGGGAGGGAGGCGGGGGAGGGACCTCAAATTCGCAGGATTCTACCAACTTTCAACTATAGGAAAAGATCGACTAGCCGACACTAAAGGCCTTCCCTCAAAGGGGGGGGGGGTAAAAATAAAACGATCGGCAAGCACACAACCACCCATGTGCCACACGCGCGCGGCTATTGGAGAGTGTGCCCTCGGTTAATTTCTCTCCCGGCGTCGGGAACGACAAGGACAGTAGAATTGTTGCAAGGTCAACAGCGACGGATTAAAAACCTGGAAACTGATAGTTTTTTTGTTTGTTTCCGGAGGATGAACAAATCCAAAACGTCGTCGCCTTTAAAAAATACGCTCCCACCCCACCCACCTACCCCCAAAAAGTCTGCTACGTTTTGACCAGTGCAGAAAAAGTATGCTGTAGTGGTACACTATACACACCCCGTTTCTATGCTCCCCCCCCCTCCCCCGCCCGCCTTCGCCGAAAACCAGCGCTGAACTCCGCGCGGCGCCAGCAAGGCCCTCATCCGGCAGCGTTTTGGCAAAAAAAAGTTGGCTGTGCCCACGTATTTGTACGTGCGAGTTTGGACTTCTCCGCGGGGACCCCCGGTTGTGCACCGCTTTGTACGCCGATTCAACGAGTGCCGACCCACTCGTCGGTTTTTAGGCAAGTTTTGGTTTGCCGCAGTGGTTTAAAAGTCTTACTTTTTTTTGCGTACGTAACTTTAAAAAAATACTTTGATTTCCTCCCTCAGTTATTTTATACACGTAAACACGATGCGAAGGTGAGAGGGCAATGGGGGGGGGGGGGGGGGGGGGGGTGGGCGGGGGTCGTGGTTGGCGTTGGGAACGTTTCGGGTTCGGCGGCGGCGGTGGTTTTGGCGCCGCCGCCACCGCCGGCTCCGGTCAGCGGGCCCCTCAGACCCGCGGGCCGCCCCCCCCACACTTGCCCCTGCGGCCCTTCATCCGCCTGTGCACGAACACGTACATGCCGAGGAGGCACGAGGCCGACATGCAGTACAGCAGCATGCACAGGCTGATGTCGACCCGCGAGAAGCCCAGCCCGATCATCGCCGCCCACCGCTGCCGGCGAGTCTGCATTCTGCCCTCGCCCTCCACGGCCACCGCCGCCAGCCCCGCCTCGGCCCGCAAGCCCAGGTCCCTCGCGTGAAGCCTGGGGGGTTTCGCCTGGGTGTGCCGCCCAACAGCGTCGATCCGGTCGTCGGCTTCCTCCTCCGATGGCACCACTTCGCCCTGCCCGGCGACCTCCTCCTCCTCCTCCTTCACGTCGTCGTCACGGATCGGCGAAGCTTGATTGTGGCGATGGCTGACGCCGTCCGCCTCGACCTGCTGCTGCCATTCTTGGTCGTCTCGGTGCGACTGCTGCGGTCGCGGCGGCGACGACGACAGCGGCGATCGCTGGTAGAGGGGGGAGATGTTGTTGCGGCCGTAGTGCTTGGCGAGGTGCCTCAGCACGGCCGAATTGTCCCACGCGTGCTCCCCCCCGTCCTGGGTGCTGTGGCAGTCGGGGCAGAGCGACGGCGGAGGCCACTGCACCTTGGGGAAGCGCGGGTCCTCGCTCTTGGCGCCTGCAAGGCACGTCACGCGCCACGTCGAGTTGCCCGTGGCCAGTACGGGGGACTTCACAACACGTGTCGTTATCCCACTGGGTGGTTTTTTTTTTTAAACTAATTTCAGGCCGAATGACATCGGGGACAAAAAAATGGCATGGACAAGGGAGGCATTGTAAATTTCATCACGCGATACACATCGGAACGTAGAGTGGACATTGAGATAACCTAGAGCATGTCATAAGGAGGGAGAAAAAAAATCACGTTGCGAAGGAAGTTGAAGGAAACAACAGCACCAGGGCGGAGGGCGGAGACCTAGGCAGGCCTAGAAAGTGGCGGTTCGAAGTGGTGAGCCAGGATATGAAGGGGAATGTGGAGTGGACGAGGAGATGATGGCACCAGCTCAGCGATGAGCGCAGTAAGCAGACGAGGAAGGCAAGAACGACACTTCATTTGGGGGAAAAACAAAAACTGTTCCAGGATGCCAAGCAAGGAAGAAAATAAGATGATCGCGAGAGCTTTAAGCGTCTCGACGTGAACGCAATCCCGTCACGCCGGCAAGCGGACGTCGGCACCTGCCAGCCGGCGGTTGGCCTGGTTGTGCCGAGCCCACAGCCAGACAACGGCTTCGTCCCAGCTCTTGACGGAGCGCGCCACACCGCGCGCCATCAGCTCGAAGTGCACGGCGCACTCCCGGCAGCCGAAGAACTCGCGCACGTACGCTCGCATGGCGCTCAGCACCGTCACGGGGCCCCACGGCTCTGTGGCAACGCACGCGCGGAAACACGCACACATGCAACGAAGACAAAGATGCACCGTATATAGCCTGAACGGACCGTTGGGGCAAGTGCCGTTACGGCGAGTAGCGCCTGTGAAGGCCGGCATGGCACACGATGGGGTGGGGTGGCCAACACCGCGCCCGGCCGCCTTTGTCTCCCCGGTGGCGATGTTTACGCATCGCACCAAGTACTCGTATGAGGCCGAGTCGACCTAGGGGAAGCTCAGGACCGGTTCAGATAATCGTCTCCGGTGTTGGCCGTGAGCAACACACACACACACGTCCCAATCGCGGCCCAGAAGCCGACAGCGTTGGCGAGCGACAGCTAGACAAACTCCCATTCACTTCACTCACACAGGAGGAAGTAAAATCTTATTTTGCTGGATGAAGGCCTCTCTCAAGGGCCGTACTATCCAATACGGCCATGGAGTAGGCACCGTGCCTAGGGCCTGCGAAAAGTGAAGGGCCTACGAAAATAATTTGACCATATTTTTTTTGTACGATACAAACTGTAACCAAGATATCTTGAATCAATATTCTTATAGCAAGGATAGGCACAGTATATACAGTCATGTCAATCGTTTGTTTTTTTCATTGCAAAATTATCACGTAAACATCTTCAGGTGGTGGTTTTCCTGCACAATCTCATTCTCAATATTGAGCAGTGCAAGGGAAGACAAGGTGGCTTTGTTGTCCTATGGTTGGTCGATCTGTCCAGCGGCCGGACGAAGTACCCCGTGAAGGAAGCGGAGCGAGAGCGGCGGTAGCCCGTGACATGGGGCAGCAGCGGTCCCAACTCTGGAGAGTTACCATTGAAGGCCTACGAGACGCAAGTGCCTAGGGCCTACAAGAACCTTAATCCGGCTCTGCCACTCTCCATGCCCTATTGGTCAAGGGGGACTGCTCAGCCAGACTCCATCTGCACCGATTCGTGCCGGGTTGATGAAAATATTAAGCGGGGAGGGGCTCGGATGTCATTTTGCCACCGATATTTACCGCGGGCACTGGAATCGAACTCGGGTTTGGCCGGATTCGGAAGCGCTGTGGGGGTGAACCGCATTGGCCTGCACCGTACGCCGAGTTAAAACAGATTAAGTGGTGGCGGTGGCTATGCATGTCTATAATCCAGCACTGGAGGCGAGGAGAGTTGGTGGATCGCCGCACAAATGTTGCCAAACTCCATTCCCCGTGGGCTTCTCAGGAGAAGGCAGTACAGCAAAAATGTTTCGTCTGCATGGGATAGAGCGTTTCTCTCTCGCACCCATCGGGTTTTCTCTGGTTTCCTTGCACGAGGAAAAAAAAACTAATTGATTTGACCGTTAACGACTTTCATGTCAGAATGAGGAGCGCAGAGCTTGGGCAATTTGTTCGTAGTACCGGCTCAACGTCACGTGGCTGCTGTCTCACGCCTCTCGAGTTGCTCGCGCTCTCTCCGTGAGAGGCACAACACTGTGCTGAGGCGCAGCAGCGGCGAGATGTCAACTCCCTCGCCCGGTACGCAGGAGGTCGTGGGTTCGATCCCGACCCTGACGCTGCCTGCTGTATGTTTGGAGTTTGCGGTGTCTCTCTCTCCCCGTGGTCGTGTGGATTTTTATCCGGGTCATCCGGTTTTACCCTCCACATTTAGAATCAACGTCATGTGCTTAAAAGTATATGCCTGCTATAAATCTCCACGCGATGATAAGCCACTTCGTTGAGTTATCGCTTGTGGCCAGGTGGCTTCTGAAAAAGAACTACATAGCCTCGATTGGGCCTTACCTATAAAAATACAAATGTTTTTTTACCAGTTGATACTGTTATTATTATTATTGTTGTTGTTACCTGGCAGCTGGTCTTGGAGCCTAGCGGCCTCCACCGTGAGCACGTGGAAGAGGGTCCACATTGAGCAGGGGTAGCCACGCAGGTGGGGGTGGCTGCCCTGGCAGGCCACCCACTGCACCCCCTCGGGCAGCCACACTCCGGGGATCTGGTGGAAAATCGTGCAGAGAATGGGGGGAGCGGGGGGGGGGGCAGAGAGGGGGGGAGCGGGAAGGGATGGAGAGGGGGGGAGGGAGCGGGGGGGGCAGAAAAGGGGGGGAGCGGGAAGGGATGGAGAGGGGGGGAGGGAGCGGGGAGGGGGCAGAGAGGGGAGGAGAGAGCGGGGGGGGGGGGGCAGAGAGGGGGGGAGAGGTCAGCATTTGCCATCGGGGTGGGGGTCTGTGCAGGGTCTAGAAGGGCAACCGTTGAATCCTGGATGGCTTCCCACAACGTTGTATAGACTGGCGAGTGGTGGTGGTGGTGAGGCTCGAGTGAGTTGATGGCCGTGGTAAGTGGCAACAACATCTCTGCATCCATAAGATGGGCCCCTGCCCACTTGTCTTTGCTCATGGAAACACACACATTGACGCACTGGTGCTCCATCTCCCATTTACAACCTGGCAGGGCGGAGCCAGTGGCAGAAATTCCACGTTCTTCGAGCGAGGATGAGTCCTCTCCGTAAGACAGAACCAACCAATGTGGACTTCCCTAATAAGGTGACCTTCATCATAAGCTTCGACCCCAGAGGGATGATTGGCCGAGTCAATCAGCCAGGAGGTGTCAAAGTGGGCATAATAGCAACCACCACCACCACTAAGTGGCGGTGACGTCACATCAGGCTCCGTATACTGGAAGGCCGTTTACACATGCTGGCAGAAGGTCACGGGACAGACCCACGGGTGCCATGGGTTGACCGGCCGAGCTCGCAAAGAAGGAACCCGGGACACGCCAGCGCGCGCACCTGCATCTTGTTGTTGATGACGTCGCGCACGGCGTCGTACGGGAGCCGCTTGAGCGGCAGCTTCTCGAGCCACTCGTGCAGCGTCTCCAGCAGCTTGCGCACCGCCGGCCTCCCAGGGAACAGCTGCACGTGCCACAGCATCGTGGGTCGTTAAAAAAAAAGCAAGCATAACAGGGTGTGGTCACATTTCCCAGGGGCGGGGAAGAGGGGGACAATCCTGACGCAACTGGACCATGTAAATGGAGGAGGGGGTAGAAGGTGGCGGAGAGAGAGGGGGCCCCCAACCGATTGAGGACACCAGGTCAGGGAGGAAAGTCAACGTGGGTCGTTTTGAATCGCGTGCGTCAGTGTATGTACACGCACAGTGAGGGAAAAAAGTGTTTGATCCCCTGCTGATTTTGTACGTTTGCCCACTGACAAATTATTAGTCTATAATTTTAATGGCAGGTTTATTTGAACAGTGAGAGACAGAATAACAAGTAAATCCCGAAAAACGCATGTCAAAAATGTTAGAAATTGATTTGCATTTTAATGAGGGAAATAAGTATTTGACCCCTCTGCAAAACATGACTTAGTAGTTGGTGGCAAACCCCTTGTTGGCAATCACAGAGGTCAGACGTTTCTTGTAGTTGGCCACCAGGTTTGCACACATCTCAGGAGGGCTTTTGTCCCACTCCTCTTTGCAGATCTTCTCCAAGTCATTAAGGTGTCGAGGCTGACGTTTGGCAACTCAAACCTTCAGCTCCCTCCACACATTGTCTATGGGATTAAGGTCTGGAGAGTGGCTAGGCCACTCCAGGACCTTAATGTGCTTCTTCTTGAGCCACTCCTTTGTTGCCTTGGCCGTGTGTTTTGGGTCATTGTCATGCTGGAATACCTATCCACGACCCATTTTCAATGCCCTGGCTGAGGGAAGGAGGTTCTCACCCAAGATTCGACGGTACATGCCCCCGTCCATCGTCCCTTTGATGTGGTGAAGTTGTCCTGTCCCCTTAGCAGAAAAACACCCCCAAAGTATAATGTTTCCACCTCCATGTTTGACGGTGGGGATGGTGTTCTTGGGGTCATAGGCAGCATTCCTCCTCCTCCAAACATGGCGAGTTGAGTTGATGCCAAAGAGCTACATTTTGGTCTCATCTGACCACAACACTTTCACCCAGTTGTCCTCTGAATCATTCAGATGTTCATTGGCAAACTTCAGACGGGCATGTATATGTGCTTTCTTGAGCAGGGGCACCTTGCGGGCACTGCAGGATTTCAGTCCTTCACGGCGTAGTGTGTTACCAATTGTTTTCTTGGTGACTATGGTCCCAGCTGCCTTAAGATAATTGACAAGATCCTCCCGTTTAGTTCTGGGCTGATTCCTCACCGTTCTCATGATCATTGCAACTCCACGAGGTGAAATCTTGCATGGAGCCCCAGGCCGAGGGAGATTGACAGTTATTTTGTGTTTCTTCCATTTGCGAATAATCACACCAACTGTTGTCACCTTCTCACCAAGCTGCTTGGCAATGGTCTTGTAGCCCATTCCAGCCTTGTGTAGGTCTACAATCTTGTCCCTGACATCCTTGGAGAGCTCTTTGGTCTTGGCCATGGTGGAGAGTTTGGAATCTGATTGATTGCTTAAGTGGACAGGTGTCTTTTATACAGGTAACAAGCTGAATTAGGAGCACTCCCTTTAAGAGTGTGCTCTTAATCTCAGCTCATTACCTGTATAAAAGATCAATCTTTCTGATTGAGAGGGGTCAAATACTTATTTCCCTCATTAAAAATGCAAATCAATTTATAACATTTTTGACATGCGTTTTTCTGGATTTTGTTGTTGTTTTTCTGTCTCTCACTGTTCAAATAAATCTACCATTAAAATTATAGACTGATCATTTCTTTGTCAGTGGGAAAACGTACAAAATCAGCAGGGGATCAAATACTTTTTTCCCTCACTGTATGTATGTTGAACTTCTTTCGCACCGTACGTAGCCAACAGTGCTACTCGGAGGTGCGGGGGGGGGATGGACAAACAATCTAAGTGCGAAAAACTTTTTTTTTAAGAGATGGTTTATCAATCTAGAGTTAAAAGTGCTTGGCTCCCAGGGGCTTCCTAATATTGCCCTCGCAGTCACTGCCTTCGACTAAGCGGGCTGTGCGACTGTTTAAACAGGTTGGGTTTTCCCAGAATGATTCTCATTCGTGCCCTCCAAACTTCACGCACCTCTCCTGGCTTTCGACATTCCTCCTGGAACCATCGACTGCAACCAGAACATCACCAACAGGCCCGATTACGCGCCTCTACTTCACGAATGGAAAATTAAAGGCAAAGCCAGAGGAGTGAAACTGCGGCCATGCAACCCAAAGCAACGGTCGTGTGCGGGGAAAAAAAAAATCCCACCGCAGCCTGCACTCCTTTAGCGGAAGAGCAAAACTACAAGAACTCTCTCCCCGAATCCCTCTCGTCTGTGGCCAGCAGACCACGACAGTCGAATTAATCTCCCTAACGCATCGCCGCTGTTCGCAATCACAGACGAGACCAATTGCCCGTTTATATTTTGTGCGCATATATTTAACCCCAATTTTATCTTGAGTTGTGCCGTCGGCGTATTATTATCATCATCATCATCATCGTCGTCAAGAGGCGGATAATTCGGCTCAGATCTCGCGCACAAAAACAGCTCGCAAGAGGCGGATATCACAGAGCTGCCGCCGACACCGCTTCGAATGAACTCGACTCCACCCAGCAGCAACTTCGCCACTGTGCGATGTCCCGTCATGCGGTTGGTTGTTCTTGTTTTTCCTTTCCCCCCTTTGCCCTGTCATTGGCGACCGATTCGCTGCACGGGTTTAATCATGGCCTGGATTCGAACCCAGGACGTTAAGCGGCGCCAGTTCGGCGTTGTGGTGGACTGCGAGTTGTAAAATAATAATAATAATAATGGTGATGGTGATGACGATGAGAAAATAATAACCAGATAATGTTGTGTTTCGCCGCGTGGGTAGAGAGTTATCAAGCCAGGATCAGAATTCGCAACGGAGGTTTTTGGGTTAGATCGTGTAAGTATAAATGTGTCGTGAACCCTCCACCACCCGACACAGCCAGTAAGGTTTGTGACGTGAGCAAAACGCGCCAATTCGTTACTGCTTCGGCCCACCGGTGGATTTGCTCTCCAACACAGCGGTGGGCTGAAGTAGTAACTAATTGGCACGTTCTGTTTACGTGACAAACCTTACTGGTTGGCTGCATCGGGTGGTGGAGGGTTACGACACATTTATACATAGGCAGTCAAACCCAAAAAACTTCACTATTAATAATATTGGTCGTGAAAGCCTTACGTGTTAAACAGAATCAGTACCTTTATTTGGAATGCAGGAAATCCGATGAGCTATAAAGCTCTTTTTTTTCTTTCTTACTTGACAGATGTCCAGTATGGGGGGGTAGGGGGGGGGGGCGAGTGTGCGGCATGACCACCGTTAATTTGCGTGGCCCAACAGCGAAAGTTATTCCTACAAAATGCCCGCCGTAGAGGGCGCGGTGTAACATCAGGGTGCTTCAAAAAAATGTTAACACTTCCGAGAATTTGCAACGACACCGCACGAAGCGTGCCTCCAGCCTCTGGAGACCACCTGGGGAATATTCCAGGCGCGCGTTGACAATGATGACGTAACAAGTGGAGACTCTTTGACTTTTCTAAGCTATCAACATTACATTTGTTACCATGTTACAGTGTATTATCCGGTTGTTTTTTTTTCCCCCCCCATTAAAAACGATAGTCCCGTATAAGCGTTAACATTTATTTTGAAGCAGCACCCCTGTATAAGTCCACACGGTGTACGCGGGAGGGCCGGTCCGGCTCGTCACCTTGGCCAGCACGTGCGCGTAATCCTTCAGGGCGCTGAGGGCACTGCCCTCCAGGATGCGGTGATTGGCCACCTCAACGCGCAGAGAGTAGTGCAGCGCCGATTCCAGGTCGGACATGTACAGCGATGAGCTGCTCCCACACACACACACAAAGACAAAGATCCACCCCGCCCGTATAGCCTTTCAACGGACTGTTGGGGAAAGCGCCGTTATGTTTAGCGAGCACCTATGAAGGCTGGCACAGGGCACCGATGATCGGGTGGGTGACCAGCACCCACCACGCGCCCCGGCTGCCTTCGTTTCCCCAGTGGTGATGTTCAGACGATCGCACCAGGTACGACTCGCCTGAGGCCGAGTCGACTTTAGGGGATAGCCCAGCACCTTTTTTTTTTGTTGGGTCTTTCGGTAAAGTCACGTAGATAGTAACAAAAAGCTACGGCGTTTCCATCGCAACATCAGGAAAAGGGGGTTAGAGCTTCTAAAGGCAAAGTGGTAATAAAGGTTTAAAATGGGCGTAGCCCAAATGTCAGCAGCATGGGGCGGGGCACCGAATGTTAACGTAATGGGCAACGGCCTCTATGGTGGTGGGTTTCTACCAATTCAAGGGCTGCAGGTAAAAATTATTATGTTAATGTGAGAGATTAGCATGTTAATGTGAGAGATGAGCGTGTTAATGTGAGAGATTAGCATGTTAATGTGAGAGATGAGCGTGTTAATGTGAGAGATGAGAGTGTTAATGTGAGAGATGAGGATGTTAATGAGAGATGAGCATGTTAATGTGAGAGATTAGCGTGTTAATGTGAGAGATGAGCATGTTAATGTGAGAGATGAGCATGTTAATGTGAGGTGAGTGTGTTAATGTGAGAGATGAGCATGTTAATGTGAGAGATGAGTGTGTTAATGTGAGAGATGAAAATGTTAATGTGAAAGATGAACGTGTTAATGTGAGAGATGAGCATGTTAATGTGAGAGATGAAAATGTTAATGTGAGAGATGAGCATGTTAATGTGAGAGATGAGCGTGTTAATGTGAGAGATGAGCATGTTAATGTGAGAGATGAACGTGTTAATGTGAGAGATGAGCGTTTAATGTGAGAGATGAGCGTGTCAATGTGAGAGATGAGCGTGTCAATGTGAGAGATGAGCGTGTCAATGTGAGAGATGAGCGTGTCAATGTGAGAGATGAGCGTGTCAATGTGAGAGATGAGCGTGTCAATGTGAGAGATGAGCGTGTCAATGTGAGAGATGAGCATGTTAATGTGAGGTGAGCGTGTTAATGTGAGAGATGAGCATGTTAATGTGAGGTGAGCGTGTTAATGTGAGAGGTGAGCGTGTTAGTGTGAGAGATGAGCGTGTTAATGTGAGAGATGAGCATGTTAATGTGAGAGATTACCATGTTGATGTGAGAGATTAGCATGTTGATGTGAGAGATTACCATGTTGATGTGAGAGATTAGCATGTTGATGTGACAGATTACCATGTTAATGTGAGAGATGAGCGTGTTAATGTGAGAGATTAGCGTGTTAATGTGAGAGATTACCATGTTGATGTGAGAGATTAGCATGTTCATGTGAGAGATTAGCATGTTAATGTGAGAGATGAGAGTGTTAATGTGAGAGATGAGCATGTTAATGTGAGAGATGAGGATGTTAATAATGAGAGATTAGCATGTTAATGTGAGAGATGAGCGTGTTAATGTGAGATTAGCGTGTTAATGTGACAGATTACCATGTTGATGTGAGAGATTAGCATGTTGATGTGAGATCGCAGAGCCACCGCCGCGTAGACATCGGCGTGCGGAGGTGGCTGTGTTGGTGTGAGAAATTTAACCTGTACGTGGCAAAACTGCTGTGCAGACCACGCTCCGGGCTCGTGGCAAACCTGTCAAATTCTCTCCAGGGGGGCTGCTCAGGATCCGCCTCCAGCTGCCCCTGCGGCTTGGGGAGGGGCGTCTGGCTGGATTCATGCGCGCTGCGTTGCACCCCAGGCAGCTGCCGCAGCGCGTAGGTGTAGAACGTCCGGATCTGGTATGCCCTGAAGAGACGCAGGCAACAAAGATCCCCCCTCCCCCCCATCAGCATCGTGTACCCCGAGAAGACTGTCCGGGGGGGCAAGTGATGTTAACTACCTCGCCTGGTATACAGGAGGCCGTGGGTTCGATTCCGACCCCGACGCCTGCTGCTGTATATTTGGAGTTTGCGTGTCTCTCTCTCTCATCATCATCATCACGGTGGCTAGGAGATGTTAACTACCTCGCCTGGTATACAGGAGGCTGTGGGTTCGATCCCGACCCCGACGCCTGCTCTAAATTTGGAGTTTGCGTCTCTCTCTATCATCATCATCACGGTGGCTAGGAGATGTTAACTACCTCGCCTGGTATACAGGAGGGCCGTGGGTTCGATCCTGACCCTGACGCCTGCTGTATTTTTGTAGTTTGCGTGTCTCTCTCTCATCATCATCATCATCACGGTGGCTAGGAGATGTTAACTACCTCGCCTGGTATACAGGAGGTCGTGGGTTCGATCCCGACCCTGATGCCTGCTGTATATTTGGAGTTTGCGTGTCTCTCTCTCTCATCATCATCACGGTGGCTTGGAGATGTTAACTACCTCGCTTGGTATACAGGAGGCCATGGGTTCGATCCTGACCCCGACGCCTGCTGTATATCTGGAGTTTGCGTGTCTCTCACCCCGTGGTCATCTGCGTTTTTCCCTCCACATTTAGAAACGTGCATTTAGAGCAATTGGCTGCAATAAATTTCCACATGATAATAAGCCATTTCGTTGACTGATCGTTTGTGGCCAGGTCAATTCTGAAAAAGAGCTACATAGCTCAGTGAGCCTCACCTGGCAAGATAAATATAGCATGTATGTTGAACTTATTTCGCGCCGTACGTAGCCGACCGTGCTAATTCGTATACATGCATACATACTTTGCAAGGACAGGACTCGGTGTGCGTGGGTGTGTGCGCGAGTAAACATCCATCGTATCCACCAAGCACCGGCCTCCCATCTCCGCACTTCCAAATAAACACCCACGGGGCAGATGACATCGCAGCGATTCTACAACTGAACGTCCAAAACTATGGAAAAAAAAAAGAGTTGATGCGAGTTTTTTAGGCGTTAGCAGGCACCGATTAAGACCAACGCGGCACATGATGGAGGTGTGGTTGGCTAGCCCGGAGCCCGGCTTCCTTCCGTCTCCCCAGCAGTGCCGACGTTTTTACACAACAACAATCGCCATTCGCCACTAAGTGGCGGTGACGTCACCACGACGCTTGTGCCAGGCTGTGCACCCACACACACCGAGTTACTCGTTTTAAAGGTCGAGTCGCCCTAAAGGCTCGCCCGGTTTCGACAACGTACGGTTTAAATCGCGTTTACCAGTGGGTGGATCAGGGCAGGTTTGCGAATAACAAAAAAAAAAATCGCCGCTTCTTAAATGAAACCTCTCCTTGCACGCGCGCACTTTAGTTCTACTCATTCAGCTGCCCCCTCGCCCGTCGAGGGTCAGCGACCCGCGGTGCCGATGCGATCGCAGAGTTCGCGGATTAAGTCAAACACGGTAGCTAAAAAAACTAATACAGGATCGGCACAACCAACGCCCTCACCCTTTGGTCTACACCAGGGGAACTGTAGGTACGTCGTTCAGCCCTAGAAATGTGAATGTTCTGCCTCATACGTTTATTTATAATATCCGGGACACCCCTTCCTCCGTTACCCTCCCCCCCACCACCGCCGCCCCCAGATAAACGAGAGTTAAACCGAGATTCAAAGGTCTCCCGTAAAAAAAAAATCCCTCGACAAACAGAAAACGTTTCGGTTCGTCGTACGACTTTGAAACGAACTCGTTTTGGAATGTAATTTACTCCGGCCGACTTCCACCGACCGATCCATGCCGTGCACGTGCATGCTTGCGTGCCTGCGTGTCTGCGTATGTGTCTGCGTACGTGTCTTAGTACGTGTCTGCGTATGTGTCTGCGTGTCTGCCTATCTGCGTGTCTGCATGCATTCTGCGTGCGTGTCTACGCGTCTGCGTGTGTCTGCATGTGTCTGCGTGTGTCTGCGTGTGCGTTTTCGTGTCTGCATGCGTGTGCCTGCGCCGTAGCTGCGATGCTCACACGGCAAGCCGCTCCCACCCGCCCTCTCCGCGGATGAGGATGCACGAGGGGAGGTCGGTGACGCTGAAGCGCTGAACCAGGCCGGGTTCCTGGGACGCGCGAACTCGCCGCACCACCAGCGGCCTGTAGCCAAACATATCCAGCACCACCTGGGAGAGCACAGAGACAGAGATTCCCCCCCCCCCCACCCCCACGTAGCCTTTAACGGATTGTTGCGGTAAGGCAATTTGCTTACCTTACCTATACTTTGCACCCCTATCGTGTTTTTGTATTGTTTGTTGTTGTAGCGTTCTAACCCCGTTCCCCTACTGGACGTGTGTGAAAAAAGAGCTTCATAGCTCATCGGATTCCTCCAGTACAAATACAGCTTCTGATTATGATTAAGGCCAGAGCGCGAAAAGACCACGCCCGAGCCGCTTTGTATGCATGCTGAACTTCCTTCGCAACGTATGTAGCCAACCGTTTGTCTATCGAGTGCTGCATGTGTTCATGCCCCATCAGGTAACTATAACAAGGCTGAAGGTGCTCATTTAAGAAAGCGACAAAGAAGTGGAAGCCTCAGGGCTTGGTGTGATATCACAGCTGTGGCGAGTGGGAGTCAAACTCAGGTTTGTCCGTCGGGTTCATAGTGTTAGAAGCTAACCGCTGTGTCACCGCCAAATTTAATGGATTAGTCGCATCAAATTTGGCTACACCGCAGCAGCACATTTGAATGGTTGAAATGCCATTCAAATATACACTAAACAAACTTTTTATTTTTGTATTTTGGCAGGTAAGGCCCACTGAGCTATGTTGCTTATTTTCAGAAGCGGCCTGGGCCGCAAATGATAGCCCAATGAGGCGGTATCACGTGAAAAATTTATAGCAGCCAAATTACTCTAAAATTCTTCAATGCAAATTCTTAAACAGAATCAATATTCTGATTTAAAGCTTTCGTGACTGCAGGGATTCATTTTCTTGGTTCTTTCGGTAAAGTCACGTAGAAGGGAAACAATAAAATCATAAAAATATAAAATAATAATTCTCACGACGTTTCGACTACAAGCAATCATCATCAGGTGTGATGATGATTGCTTGTGTTGCAGTCGAAACGTCGTGAGAATTATTATTTTATATTTTTATTATTTTATTGTTTCCCTTCTACGTGACTTTACCGAAAGAACCAAGAATAAGAATCAATATTTATTTATACAGCTGCCCAGTCGGGGCGGGTAAGAACGATACAACAACAAACAGCACAAAAAAACGACGGTAGTGCAAAGTACACGAAATATAAATAAATCACCCAAATGCACACAAATAAAACACTAAAGCATCCCCATCCTACCAGGCAAAGCTCACTCAGGCATTCACTTATTTTCAGAAGCGACCTGGCCACAAATGATACCTCAACAAAGAGACTGATCATTTGGACATTATAGCACCAAAATAATAAAAAATAATCTCAATGCATATTTCTAAACGAGGAGGGAAAAACCGGAGGAAAATAATCCACATGACCACCGGGAGGCGATAGACGCGCAAACTCCAAATATACAGCAGGATCGAACCCACGACCCTCCTGTGTACCAGGTGAGGTAATGAACATTGGCAGTCCAACGAATGCACGTTCAAATGCAATGGTGAACAAATGAATAAACGAACACCCCCCAACCTCCTGCATACCAGGCGAGCAAGAGAACATCTCGCCGCCACGCGAGAGCGCGATGCACGACGCAGCACAGGTGTCAGAGAGAGCTGCACACCATTGCGCTCGTGTTGGCAGCCACGGCCGGGACAGCGGAGGCTGGGTTTGTCGCGCGCCTCCTAGACCTACCTCCCTGCCCACGTAGGAGGTGTCGTCTTCGAAGACCAGCGCCAGGTAGCCGCCCGCCAGGGGTCCCCCTTCCATCCCTTTCAGCAGGGAATCCACCTCGGCCTCACTGGTCACACGGAACAAGCGCCGGGGATATCCCTCCCCGCAGAGCGAGGCAGAGCGCCGGGACAAATCGAAAGAGGTTCGTCGCCGATGTTGTGCCACGAGTGGAAATGGAACTTGCGTCGCCGGCTTCAAAGCGCGGCGAGCAGAAACCGCTACACTGTCGCTCCCAATATGCAAAGAAAAAGCTCCACCACCCCCCACCCCCCCGTATAGCCCGAGCAGACTGTTGGGGAAAGTGCTGTTAGCGAGCACCTGTGAAGGCCGGAACGGCACGAGGGGGTGGGTGGCCAGCACCACGCCCGGCCGCCTTTGTCTCCCTAGTGACGATGTTTACTACACACCGCACCAGGTACTCATTTGAGGCCGAGTCGACCTAGGGGAAGCTCAGGATCGGTTCAGATAATCGTCACTGGTGCTGGCCGTGAGTGGGAATCGAACTCGGGTCGCCGGGTTCGTAGTGCAGCACGCTAACCGCAACACTACCGCTCCCAATGCACACACACGCACAAATAATTGCACACGCACATTGGTGTACTCATCTTAGTGGTTTTTTGTTTAAAATTATTTATGAACTTATATTACAATTGCTCTTTTGTCGGCATCGTGCTGCGATGAGACAGAAGACATTTCCGTTCGGAATTCATGAAGCTATCAAGTTGACAATAATAATAATAATGATGATGCTATTTATAAATTGCCTTTCATCAAGGATCTCAAAGCGCTGTACAAGAAACAGCAGCAGCCACTCTGCATGACAACAATCTCAGTGAACTAAAAAACGAAGACATGGCTCTCTTTTTTTTAAAACCAAAAGCCTGCCCGGCCTACGCCATAGAAATGTGGAAATTTCCATTCGTGACTCAGGGGTGAGGGTGGGGGTGGCGTGAACAGGAGATGAGCGCCAACCTCAAAACGATCAATGTGTTCTTTTGTTGTCGTTTTAAAAACGGAGCAGGAAATCCTCAGAGACTCCGAGACTCACTTGACGGCCGCGAGGGAGGGCCCGAACGCCTCCTGCTTCTCCAGGAAGTCCACGAGCTTGCGTCGCAGCCCCGGGACGGTGCGCTCCCGGTCTGCGCGGCGACACAAAAACACAGCCCCGTCCGCGTACGCTCCCTCTCCCAGTCCCAGTCCGTCGGGGGGGGCCACGCGGCCTTCGTCTCCCCGCCCCCCGCGACGGCGTTTTATATATGCACCGCACCTGGTGCTCGTTCGAGGGCGGGAGGGCCCAGGATATCGCTCGCCACGGAATGTCAGTCACGGCAGGGAATCGAACCTGGGCACTCGCGTGGGTACGCAGCACAGGTTCCCAACACGGTGCATTGGCTTGCTCGGTCAATGCCTTTTCTCAGGAGGGCGTCTATCTGGGTAGGCGCTCTCGCCCCGGGTGCGCCTTCATCACCATAAACTCACGCGTGGCAAACGACCGTAGGCAAATACGGAGAATGTATTCTCATGCTCACGGCACACGATAAAAATCGCATCGTACACCCCGTTAACAATTTACGCAAGTTACATCGCCGCACCACAGTGGGCTTGCGGAGGCCCTCATCCAGCAGTGGAGCGACCGTGGCTGCCGCCGATGCTGACAACACGCATTTCGTGCCGATGCAAGCGAACGGGACGGAACCGTGCGAGAGAGACGATCGGAGCTCAAAAGCAAACGGAGACGACCTTTTTTTTTTTTTAAATCACTCGTGTCATCGCGGAGAATATAATAAGCGACGAGGTATATAAGCGGACAGCATGCCTTCGCACACCCGTGCACCTCCAAACACAGAGCTCATCAGCCCGCGTGGCCTTTCCGTTTAGGGGGGGGAGGGGGGGAGAGTGCATAAATACAGGGGCATTCCTTCAAGCCAACCTCGACTTGTTGCGGACATCCGGTCGTAGAATCGCTGCGATGTCATCTCCCCATCGCCTTTTAGTTGAAGTGCGGAGGATGGGAGGCCGATGGTGGCGGCTACGATGGATGTTTACTCACGCGTACGTGCGCAGTGCTCTCCTTGCGAAGTATGTATGCATGTGTACATGTTAGCACGGTTGGCTACGTACGGTGCAAAATAAGTTCAACACGCATGCTCTATCTATCTTACCAGGTAAGGCCTCACCGAGGCGCGTAGCTCTTTTTCAGAAGCGGCCTTGGCCATCGCAAACGATAGCGCAACGAAGCGGCTCATCATCATCATCATCATCGACGTCATCACGTGGAAATTTTATAACGGCCGAATAACTCTAAACGTGCGACGACGCGGACCCTCACCGGAGTGATCTTTACCGACGTCCGTGGTGTTGGAGAAGGGTGGGAAAAACTGAAAGGGAAAACGACATCAGAGAGAGCAACGACAACAAACCACGACCACGTGAATAAAACACCGCAGCGGCTTCACGGCAACAACCGATCGCACGCCGGCATTGGGGTACGGCTGCGTGGCGTCGCTAGAAAGTGAAAACCCCACGCCGCCGGCTCCACCGTCAAAGTCGGAGCCACGGAAAGGGAGCTCTTGAATCTGGACTTAAACAGAGGGGAGGGAATCAGCGGAGAGGTTGACTGAGATGGGGGGGGGGGAGTGGAGGGAGGGTGAGGGTGGAGGGACGGTGAGAGTGGAGGGACGGTGAGAGTGGAGGGACGGTGAGGATGGAGGGAGGGTGAGGGTGGAGGGAGGGTGAGAGTGGAGGGAGGGTGAGAGTGGAGGGAGGGTGAGAGTGGAGGGAGGGTGGAGGATGAGGGTGGAGGATGAGAGTGGAGGGACGGTGAGGGTGGAGGGAGGGAGGAAGGGGTGAGAGTGGAGGGACGGTGAGGGTGGAGGGACGGTGAGGGTGAGGGTGGAGGGAGGGTGGAGGATGAGAGTGGAGGGACGGTGAGGGTGGAGGGACGGTGAGGGTGAGGGTGGAGGGAGGGTGGAGGATGAGAGTGGAGGGACGGTGAGGGTGGAGGGACGGTGAGGGTGGAGGGACGGTGAGGGTGGAGGGAGGGTGGAGGGACGGTGAGGGTGGAGGGACGGTGAGGGTGGAGGGAGGGTGGAGGGACGGTGAGGGTGGAGGGACGGTGAGGGTGGAGGGAGGGAGGAAGGGGTGAGAGTGGAGGGACGGTGAGGGTGGAGGGAGGGGGTGCAGGGGAGTGAGGGAGGGAGTGAGTGAGGAAGGAGGGGAGGGGGTGAGCGTTTACCCGAATGCTGGGGTAGTAGCGAACTTCGAACTCCTGGCAGGTTTTCTGGTTGGCTTGCTCGGCGCAATCCATGACGCCGAGCATCACCGCCTGGCGCCAATCTGCTCACGGCGCGGCAAAAAGAGAAAACACGAGGGAGCGCGTTCCGCGGCGGTGTACAAGCGAGCGCGCTCACGTCACGGCGCCGAGACTCCTCCGTCGAGCAGTCTTCGTTCGTCAGCTTGCGCGACGTCGAATCGCTCACCTGCGACGACCGATGGTCTGCGACGTCCACGGATTGCGCGTGGGGGCATGGGCAGCGGTGTGGCACAGCGCTCGCGAACCCCCCAGTTCAATCCCCCCCCCCCCCGGAGACGGCTAACATCGGTGGGCAAAGCGAGATTCCAACCGATCCCTGGCTCACCCTCCCACCTCACCGACCCAATGATGTAACGCGCACTGACTGGCATGGTGAAGTATAGCCTAGCCCCCCCCGCCCATGGTATGTATTGATTGGGGGGGGTGGTGCAAAATACGGCGCTTCGGGTAACATTTGCAATGTGGGCCCCGCATTTTCAGGCCGACTGATCTCAATACTACGGATGATACCGCATCCTTCGTAACCAACAGCAACGCGCGTTGCACGCACGCCAACCTGCTTCAGACGCCTCTCCGGTTACCGTCGTTTTAATTAACACTCCTGCGTTCGCATCTTGCGCGGCGGGGGAAGTCTGCCCCAGGGGGGAATGGGGGGGGGGGGATGGGGGCAGGCGGGCGGGCGGCCGACACCAAACAATGAAAAGGAAACGCCACTCTCAACGGGCAGAGCGTTAAACACCACGACGACAACAACAAGGGACCGGCGGAAAAAAAACCGCCGACGAGCGTAGAGAACAATTCGCGGCAGAGCGACCGGCAGGAAACGGCCGAGCGGGAAAACAAAAAACACCTACAAAGCGGGCGGGGAGGACGGGGGTTGTTAACTTGTAGCAGCGGGGTGAACGTCATCACGCGGAATTCCTGACTTTTTGCCCGGTGAACACGGCTCGCTCGAGATCACAATGCAGGCTCGATTTGGAATCGTGGCTCCAGCGGAGGCGTCGGAGGGGGGAATTCGAGGCGGGAGCGATAGCAAAAAGCAGCCAAGGGGCGCCAAATTTCTGCCATGTTGAAATCGAAAATGCAACGGGATGGGGCTTGGAAAAAATACGCAACGTTTAAAGGAGAAACATATGCCAGCTTCACTCTGGAATGCTCCACCATATACTTTTAACGAGAAAGTCAAAGTATCTAAATATCTACTCGCGGGTAAATTATTTCTTTAATGCCGCTTCTGCTGCTGCGCTGGTCTTGGTGCACGCGCGTTTGTCAATTGTATAGTTGCCGACGGTACCGTTTTGTTTCATTTTGGGACCACGGCGTTGGTGATGAGCGTCCCGAGTTTGTTTTGTTTGTGCTCTTGCACCACTGCGCCAATGCAGCGCCACAATTTTTGTTCGGCGCGTGTACGCACGTTGAACTTCTTTCGCGCTGTACATAGCCAACCGTGCTAATCGGAGGTGCAGCCTAAAGAAAACAAAAGCACGGATACACGCACTATACAGGGACTCCTCTGCTTATGAACATTCGACTTACAAACTTTCACAGATGCAAACAAACCTGTCCCTATGTCCAGTTGCAGCTGTTCAAGTTGTTACAAGTTTATTAATGACGAGAAGAGGAAGACAGCGACTGTGCAGACATCTCTTGGTCAGTTTTTCAACACAGAGTAGAGAGGAAACCCAAGCACTAAAGGGAATTGGCATCTACATCTGTATAACGTGAAGAACCAGTGGCATCTGCATCTGTAGAACGTGAAGAACCAGTGGCATCTACATCTGCAGAACGTGAAGAACCAGTGGCATCTACATCTGCAGAACGTGAATAACCAGTGGCGTCTACATCCGCAGAACATGCAGAACCAGTGGCATCTACATCTGCAGAACGTCAAGAACCAGTGGCATTTACATCTGCAGAACGTGAAGAACCAGTGGCACCTACATCTGCAAAACGTGAAGAGCCAGTGGCATCGACATCTGCAGAACATGAAGAACCAGTGGCATCTACATCTGCAGAACATGAAGAACCAGTGGCATCTACATCTACAGAACATGAAACCAGTGGCATCTACATCTGCAGGAGATGATACAACTTTTAAAGCCATTCCCCGTGTTTATTCTACACGCTGTACAACATGTTTGGAATCGACAGGAGTAAAGTTGGACTCGCGAACAAATCGACTTAAGAACAGACCTCTGGAACCTTAACTCTTTCATAAGTAGATATATATCTATATATACACAAACATCTATGTATAGTGACGGGATTTTTAACAGGTAAACATTACCTCATTGGGCACCTACGTAGCTGTGTGAACCACGCACTCGGTTCTGGGTCAACCGAGTGTGAGAAATGTGGCCCCCCCCCCACCCCCCATGCCTCTCCAGCCAAAAGCGTGGCCACGTCGAGGTTCACATTTTTTGGTTCAGCCGTCGAGCAAAAACGGTGGTCACCGCGTCGTCGCACGGCACTTTCGGGTGCGCTTCTGCGGCCGTCTGGAACGTGTCTTCCTTCCGATATAAGGAAAGCCACTGGGAGCTATGGACTTTTGGATCAAGATTCAAAACTCGCTTCATAAGAACTGCTTCTTTTGTATTCTTAGCTCTTTCGGTAAAGTCACGTTGAAGGGAAACAATAAAATAATAAAATATATATAAAACAATAAAAATTCTCACGACGTTTCGACCATAACACAAACGGTCGTCATCAGTCACGAAAGCTTTAAATCAAAATTTGCTTCTTTTGTGTTCAGTTTGCCGTCCTTCCCCCCACACCTCCGATTCGCGCGGTTGGCTACGTACGTTGAGTAAAGAAGTTCACCGTACATACACATCAGCGGCTTTCCCCACCAAGGCTGGCGTGGTCTTGGGGGGTTGTATACATGTCAAACGATGTTCTGCGTCTCCACATAAATTACACATTTTTGCTGACAGTTGTTTTTGTGTTTTTGGTCCGATTCCTATTTGCGTCATTGCTGTACTTTATTCATGTTTGCTTTTGTCATTGATTACCCGGGGTCGCTCATGCAAATGACACTCCCATTCTGGTTTCTCACGAGTCCTCACCTGGTTTAACTAAAAACAAGACTGAAACATGAAGCGTACATTCTTGTCCCATTCGGCCTATTGGCTCTCCAGACCAACATCATCCGGGGCAGCTTTTGCTTAAGCGAGCTTCTGGATAATAAGCGAGGCGAATTGGGCCAAGTCATCTTCTTTCCTTCGTACGGCTGATGGCGAAGATGCAGAGCAACGACCACCATCACATTCAGGTGGAGTAGTGTATCATCATCGCTGTGATGTCTCCTTAGTATTCGTGGCCCATGTGCAAGGCAAATGGGCAAACAGGCTAGGCTGAAAACCGAAGAGAGAACACGAGTTCTTCTAAAAAATGATTTTACCCATAATGCTCAACAACACATATGTAAATAACACACTTAGGCAATCCACTGGGGCTCATGCTGCCATCTAATTTCCTCCTGAGACTCCAAATGTAACGGGCACCGTTATTTCGGGGGCAGTTTAGCCGCACGCACGGTAGCAGAAAGCCACTGAAAGACGCGGTTGATGCAGCGCAAGCCTCCAAGACTTGGCCCCGACTGAGTCAACATTCTCGCTCCGAGCGAGGCAGGAATTTTTCGCGCCCTTTGGGCAAACACCGCCGCCGCCCCTGTGCATTTATTCAGCGTCGTCGTCGCAGACTTTGGGTGGAGGCCCTCCCGATGCTTTTTCGGGGTCGTGCCGCATGTCGTTTGGACCAATGCCCTCACCTTTTTCATCCACGTGCTGGGTGGGAGCTTCTTCAGCAACTGAACCGCGGGAACCTTAAGCAGCAGTTGTCTTTGAGGCTTTATTTTTTTTTTACTCCGTAAGACAGAGCCCGTCCTCCTATGAGGCCGTGTGTTTTCACAACGCGAATGTATTGATTGGGGAACGTGGTTTTTGTTATAACGCTGAATGCGTTATGGATGCGACGCGATCGAGCGAACGGAACTACGTCGCAGCGCGAGGAGGAACGTGCGGTCGCGTCACGGCTGCCTCGGCGTAGCGTCATCACGCGAAGCGTTGGGATGCCCTGGACCGCCTGCAGGAGATTCCAGGCACGCGTTGACAATGATGGCGAACAAGTGGAGACTGACTTTTTGAAGCTATTAACATTACATTTGTTATCATGTTCCAGTGTATTATCATCCGTTCCATCAAAAACTATAGTCCCATGTAAGTGTTAACTTTTTTTTAAGCACCCTGTAACTATAGATCATTCACTAGAACGGGATTTTTCCATCGCGCGGCGTCCTTCAGGAACTAAGCTACCGCCCGCCGCGTTAGAGGCGAAGGGACGGCACGACCGACCGCTGGGACCCGACCGGTGTTTTGACGCCACGTTTTGAAAAGCACCTGCGCTTGGGCCATCCCCTTTCCAAAGCATGCCCACTCCCCTTTAGTGGCTTTTTGTTTTCTATAATTTAAATTTTATTATTATATTATTATTACATTTTTTTACTAAAATTTTCTTAATCTACGTCACTTTACCGAAAGAACCAAATGAAATGTATGCCCCCTCCGAATGGCCGATGGACAGGTCATGGCGAAGCCCAACAAGATCGAACGGAAGAAAACGTGAGAACTTTTGACGAATGTAAAACAAAAAGAGCCGTAAAAGCTGAGCGGGGAATTAATGCCAGCGAAACACAAAGACCGAGTGGTGCAATAAGTTAGCCGTAGCGATTGGAGACATCTGCTGGACCAGGGTGGCGGGTGGTGGCGGGCGGGACGGGGGGGAGACACAACAACAACAACAACAAGAAAACACGGCATAACGTGTGCACGTGTAATGACAATAGAGCCTGCAAGCGGCGTGAAGGGACCAGTGGCCGCAGGAGGTTAATGACGGAGGTCAGCCTCCAGTGCAAATGCACTAGTGGCCACGGGAGGTGATGACAGGGGTATCAAGTTGTGAGTGTGAAGGGACTGGTGGCCACGGGAGGTAATGACAGGGGTATCAGTTGTGAGTGTGAAGGGAC